TTGTCAAAAGTATGGTCCCTTTTTGGGTCCCTATTATAATACGGGGGGGGGCCTAATTTAGGGGACCCAAAAAGGGACCATAATTTTGACAATCCCCTACCTGGATCTTGAGAAGCCCTAAACCCTAAACCTTATGACTCAGCTAGTGGAGAAAAGGTCCCATTTAAAAACAAACAACCTTAAGCCCTAGACCCTAAGCCCTAAGCCCTAAACCCTAAGCCCTACCCTTAGGGAAGCCCCCCATGTTCAGAATCCTGCGTCGTGGTTACCTAGGCGCAAGGCGGCTGCGAGCAAGGCCAAAACTGAGGCGCTGTGGGGGCCACAGCCGAGCCTTTGGGCCCTGAACCCAAACTCTGGAACCCTAAACTGGGTTGCTGTTAAGGAACTTCAATAAGTCACCAGAATGGGTGTATACATAAATATATAGTAATTAATCTGGTTTTCCCAATATAGGAACTTAAATTAAGTTCCTGAACAGCAACCCAGTAGAGGCCTAGAGTTTGAGGATTTAAAGCCAAGGTATCGTGCTGGTGCGCGAGAGAGATTGGGAGAGTGAATATACGAGGCATGCACGATCGTGTGGGATGCAAGATGAAGTAAAGGGTACTGGCTATGTTGTAGAGTTAGGGTTCAGGGTCAACCCGCATCCCGAATAGTGTAAAACTGCAAATCCGTGTTTGGAGGGCCTGTAGAAGAAGAACTATACTGTAGATAGCATGTATCTGTGTGTATATATATATACACATCCATATATGCATAGCATGTATCTGCATATATATATATATGCACATCCGACGATGACATTAACAGTCCCTCAACACGGTAATGGTGGGCCGAACCATCTTACGTCATGTGTGAGGATCCCCCGATGTTCGAAAACACAGAGATTACCAAGGCGTAGCAGCCAGCGGCAGCTGAAGTCTGATGTCTGGAGCTGAGTCCACCATCTGCCTAAAGGTTTAAGGTTTAGGGTCCTAATCCTTGGACAAGTTGCAGTTTTTAGTGTTTGGGGTGCACGCAACAGATATGATTTGGAGACGTCTAGGAGTTCTGGTAGTGCAGCTACTGATTGCCTGTCAGAGCGAGGTCAGCAAGTCAGTGTTCGGTCTGCGTCAGACGTACCCTAAAGAATACCCATATAGTACTAAACAAATTGTAGTTTCCATTTTATTTTTCATTACTCCAATATAACTCCCATATCCTATTAAATAATAGTTTCCATTTCATTCTCCATTCTCTGTTTCACTTGATTCTCCATGATTGGGGTAGCATCCCATTACAACTCCTGCATGTGTGTATATACATATAGCCCAAAATGTAACCTAGACCCACAGCTGCAAACCCTAAACCCAAGAGTTCTGTGAGGTCCAGTCTTTCGCCCACGCTTTCAGCCGCGCTCTTGGCTGGGGATCGTGATGCCGCCAGCCGTTCATAGCCCTTAGCCAGGCTTCAGGGTTGGAGTCCCTTAAGGGTTTAGGGCTTAGGGCTTAGGATTTAGGGTTTAGGGTCATGGGGACTTAGTAAGTAGGTTGAGAATGGAGATACCCGGGGTTATTGTATGGCTTATGGGGCTTATTAACCTATTTACTAAGTCCACCCGACCCTCCAAGTACCCCAATATTGGTAGTGCATTGGGGGCCTTTGTTGTTTTTGGGAGGTGAGGCGTTTCTGTTATACATCTTGGGGAGGTGAGCGCGTACATCATACACTCCTCAAGCGCTGGCTCTTGTAGTAGTCTCCCAAGAGGTGACGTCATGCTGGTTACTTGGTGCTACAATACCTCCTTTTGGTGGGGGTCTGCTGTATCTACACACTAGTGCCAATCCCTGAGCCCCATATAAGTTTCTAAACCCGAAGAACCCCTCAACCCTAACAAACCTCACACCTTTGGACCCCTCCCCCCCCCCTCCCCCAAAATTTGGGAGCAAAGGCATGGGACCGGAATCCTGTAGTAGCTCTACATATTCCAGCAATCGTCCCTATGATTCTAGATCAAGACGCAGACAGTTCTTGCTCAGGTCAAGGATTGAAAGGCGTGGAGCGCGAACTGCTGGAGAGGACGCTTCATGGGCCTAGGTTTTGAGGGCAGAGATTGCGATTTACGGCTTAAGCGTCTTAGTTGAGGGCTCGGGCCTACATGCAAAGCTGAGCAGCAGATTGGGCCTCTGTCCCCAAGGTTGCGATGACCTGCGGTCAACGCATGACAGCACGAGTCTGATCCAAGTGGATATAGGTAGCTTCTACAATGTCCGATGTCATCCTTCCCCATGGTGGAAGCTTGTAGGAGCTATAGCCTAAACTCCTTTACGAGGGTTGTATAGGGGACTCTATGGAGAAGTATTATGGGGCTTATTACGAGGAGTACTACGAGCTTAGAGTATGGCTCATATGCCCTGGCCAGGACATCCCACTCCCACGGCTCTGTTCTTAGCCAAATCTACGCCGTAAACTTCAACCGGAAGCAGAATGCAGGGAATTATCCCCTCCACAAGCCCGCATGTTTCCACGGTATGATCCTTTCTTGGGAACCCCCCCGTAATGAGGGTCTTGATAGTTGGACACGCTGGTGTCAACATTCCTTCCACTAAGACGTGGTCCCTCGCACGACACATGTAAGGCAATCGTCTTTTGACCCAGCTTTAGCACAGGCCCTTGGCTCTGAGTCTGTGTGAACTTGTTTGTGCGGTATGTTGGCAGTTGCTTGAGGGCACCAACTGTGATGTCTGGCCTTGTGCTTCACCAGGACAAGTCCTTACACATACTATATAGGGTGTATATATATATATAGGGGCCATGGAAAAGAACATGGAAACTACTACTTAGGGTTTAGGGTTAGTATATTGGGGGAGACTTTGCTTTCCACACAGGATTCAGGCAGCATATCTTGCCCACAGGGCCGCCATATCCTCCAAAACAACCCTCAGAATCTCCACACCAAAACCCTACACCTAAGCTGTACAAAGCACGCCTGGAAGTCGATTGTCCTTGGGTCTAGGGCCTCGATCTTGCCACCAAAAGTTCCCCTTGGCTTTGCCAAGGGGCCCATGTGAGATTCTGCTTGCAGGATTGCAGCCGAGGAGAAGAAGATGCAAGCCTCTGCCTGTTTCTGTCCATGCTTGGCTAAGGCATATGGCGAGCTTTTGTAATTTCTTTTTTAGAGGGGGGCGGTAGGTAGAAAACATTCTTGTAAGGATATGGTGATTGGTGATGATCTTTGCTTTGGTTCTCCCCAAATCCGTTGCGTTGGACCCCTTTCAAAGGTTGGCGTGGTTAGGCGCATGGGGCGATCGCTGGGGCAATCACTCGGGATAGCAGGAGAACTATCTAGTTGCGCTCTGTTTGTATTTTCTTCAGGTCTCGCCGCGTTTGGTTGCTCCACGTTTGCATATATATATACATATTCTTCAAGTGTTGCATTTGCCAAACAACTTACAACAGTTGGGTAAATTGGCCTGGAGCGCCGACATTCAAGTTCCCACCCGCCCGCCCCTTGGTACCGGGTGCTGTGGCCGATAAGGGCGATGTAATGTGCTGCGCGTGGGCCCAGGTGCCCTTTCTTTCAACAACCTGCAAAGGAAGTAATGGCCCTGGTGCCAAAAATATTTGCCTTGGGACATTGCCTTGACTGACTTCGTTACAGCTTTGGTCGCCAAACCCATGTTCATGTTTAGTCTTGACTTGGCTCCCCCCTCAGACCCCACTGGTCTACTGCTATTTTGTGTGATGTGCAGTGAAAGGTTCGGTGGGTCACCAGTTCTTACAAGGTGATATTTGAGCCTCAGAGACTGTTCTGAGATCACAAGGGCTTCTGATGCAGCGAGGATCTGCAGCCATCAGCTAGAACGAAGGTCGGGACCTCAAACATCACCTTGCTTTCAATTGCAGCATGACACCTAAATGCCCCTGCATCCTAAGCCCCCCAATCAAACCCAGAACCTCAAAGTCTCCACAAAACCAAAGCCAAAACCCTCAAAGCCTCCGAAATACAACGCCAGGCGGATCGAGCTAAATCGCCTACAGGATCTGGAGCATGGCTTAGAGGCAGCGCAGATTAGCGGTTTAGGGTTTAGCGCTTAGGATTTCGGGTCAAGGAATGAAGGTTGAGGGTTTCGGATTTAGGGTGCCGGGTTTAGGATTAAGGGTTGAGAGTTTAGGATTTCAGGCTAGGGTTTAGGATTTATGGTTCAGGGTTTAGGATTTTCCTTTTAGCATATGTTTCAGGCAGGGTATTACCTTGGTTGTCCGCCGGCAAGTTCCGCTGCATCACTTGGGGATTACGGGCCTAGGTTTGCCTCGAAATGAAAGCCACTGGGGCGAGTGGTTGGGCGTAGGCTAGGTTCTAGGGTTCAGGGTTAAGGATAGAAGTTTCTCCAAAAATGCAAGAGGGAACTTTTTCGATTCTACTAGGCTCCACTACGAAGAATATCATTGATCCATATCAAGTCCCGTTCTATACTAAGAAATTATGGGGATCGTGGTTCTAAGCATTGCTGAACCGCTCTAAGCCAGAACCTCTACAAACTAAACCGTAAACCCCAAACCTTACATCAGTAGCTTCTATTACCTTTTCCATAATTCTTGTATGGTAGTTTCCCAAAATAGGGGGACCCGAATATAGACCCCCAAATACTCTAGTCCTTTTTATCGGGCCCCCCCAAAAAGGGGGAACCCTTAAGCCTAATCCTTAAACCCTACACATCCCTATATACCCCGATACAACGCATATATAGCCCTGATAAATCCCCTTTAAGAGGTACTCCTAACATAATCCCTAAACCCTAAACCGTAAACCCCAGTCCCTAAACCCTAAAACCCTAAAACCCTAAACCCTAAACCCTATACCACAACCCAATACGCCCGGAACCCTTCTGAGCCCTGTCAGGTGAGGGTCAAGGCCGAACGCGAGGTGCGCGCCAATGAGGTTCAGTCCTGGAGGATGGGTTCTGCTGAAGCATTTGAGGGTTTGGGGTTTGGGGTTTAGGGTTTGGGGTTAAGGGTTTAGGGTTTAGGGTCTGCGGTTGGGGGTTTAGTGTTTAGGGTTTCGGGTTTGGGGTTTAGGGTTTAGGGTCTGGGGTTGGGAGTTCAGTGTTTAGGGTTTGGGGTTTAGGGTTTGGGGTTGGGGGTTAGTGTTTAGGGTTTCGGGTTAGGGGTTTAGGGTTTGGGGTTTAGGGTTTGGGGTTGGGGGTTTAGTGTTTAGGGTTTCGAGTTTGGGGTTTAGGGTTTGGGGTTGGGGGTTTAGGGCTTAGGGTAGTTCAGGTTTGTTTTCGTGATTCCATGCAAGCTTCAGTACTGTTTCTCGGCTGATACAAAGGCACACGAATGACCAGGTGTCTTAATTTCAAACCCCAGTACAAGGCCCTAGGCCCTTCTTATGCGGATCCCCGCGAAAAGGGTCTTGACATCCCGCGCATAGAGGGGCTCTCAGGCCCATGCTGGCACGATTATTCACTACCCTTGTCATCATTTTGACTTCACATAGTTCATTTTCACGCGCTGGATACGACTCTGGTTGCTTGCCTTGATGAGAGGTTCTACGTCGCTATTTGTCTTGGTGTTAGGATGTTCTGCGTTATTAGGCCATCCTTGCCATAACGTTTGTTCATGCGTATTCTCATGTTCAGTCCCGTGATGGTTCCCTTCAACCTTAGACGAGATGAGGAGCCGGCACGCGTCCCTGGCTTCAGATCTAGAGGCCCTCATCACGCGCCGGGACCAGGAGGCCTAGACACGTAAGTTACCATAACATGGGGGTTAGGGGTTTAGGGGCTCAGGTTTTAGGACTTTAGGGGTTTAGGTTTAGGGGTTTTGGATTCGGGGGTTTAGGGGTGAGGCTTAAGTTGCCATACTGGAGAATCGAATGGTGTCAAGGTTTTGGGGCCAAGGCCTTTGGGGGTCAAGGTTGAGGGTTACGAGTTGTGGTGTTGGGGCATTCGTTTGGGGAGGCGCATGGTGCTTCAGAACGGTCAGCTGTCTCCGTGGTACGGTAGCTGAACCGCCCTTCACGCAAGAAGAAATGAATCCCAAAAGCACTATTAAGCCGTACCCTAAACCCTAAACCACTAAACCCTAAACCCTCAAGCACTAAACCATTAAACACTAAACCCGTATGCCCAGAGGTCTTCGAACTCCAGGCGAAGGTGAACTTGGCAATCAGCAATCGCGAAGCGCAGGCGCATCTCGCAGAGTTTGAGGGTTGGGCTTGGGTTTCAGGGGTCAGGCTTTAGGGTTCAAGGTTCATTTTTGTGCTGAGTTTAGCTTGATAGGAATGTGGGTCTCTGAGATTAGGCTAGTTGGGTCTTCTTTTTGTTAATGGTGTTGGTGAAGTGCTGAAACTTAGAATGCATCAGATAATAGATCTGGTTTGGGGTTCAAGGCTGGACGCCCAGGTTG